ATTCAGTGGGACTTTTAAAGACTAATTTATTGCCATGCACTTAATCTAAAACACTGATAGTTTGATTAACGCACACATAAAACATCTGTTTAGTGTGTAGGATCTGTCAAATCAAAGATGAGCCCAGGGATGGTGTTTAGTCTTTGGAAACCTGTCAGAGCTCGAGTGTTTTGGTTGGAGCTTTTATATTTTACAGGTTTTTCTGTATCATTTAAGCTGGAACAATGAAGATTGCAACCTCCTTAGTTTGGTTCATCAGGCATGAGGGGCTGTGACCAGACCACGTTATATAAAGCAGTCTGATTTCCCACTTGCTAACATCTTGTTTTACAGGACTGCTTTAAAACTTGCAATGTGTCTTTTCACAGCAGGCCTTTTTGTTCTACTCCAGGTTTAGAAATTCCAGTGAACGAGCATGGAATAGTTTACAAACTGTCAGTTATGCACAGTGTAAAATATACATTTAAAGGCTCAATGTATTCATAAAATAAGTCAAAGGAAAGTTAATAATTAATAACCAAGTTCTGTCACAAAGTTTTCTAAAACCCTCTGTTTTTGAGAGAATTGTAAACCAGTAAACCAGTTGCTCACTGCTTCTTCTCTGTACAAACATTACTGTTTACTGACAACACCAGTGAAAAGATGCCAGGGAAGTAACATTCCTACAATGAAAAGCAGATACATTTCTTAGATGCATGTAAAGACGACAAAACAACATTTTTAGCATGTCTGTTATTTTTTGATCAGGTTCAGATATTACCCACAGGAGCCCAGCAACATCTTATCAAAGTACGTGTGTCCAGAATGACTCCACACTGATTTCCTTCTTTGTTTGTTTGTTTTTTTTTGCATGAGAAATTACTCTGTGGACACAGCAGATTAGAGGAAGGATTAGATGGTAGACAAACACACAACAAAAGAAGGAACCTGACCTGACATTAACTCCCACTGCTTCGTAAATGAACAGTAAATTGGGATCATTTTTCTAAGTAAAGTGACTCAAGGCCATATTGATCAAATCATACTTTGTCAGGCGCAACAGCATTGCAGCTTAACAGCATTGCAATATAGAGCCAACTAATATCCAAAGTGTCACAATAAATGTGAATGCCATTAAAAAAATACCAACCAACCTGTGCACTGTCTGGATTGACTACAAGAAAGCATATGGCTCGATGCCCCACACCTGGATCCTGGAATGCCTAGAACTTTACAAAATCAACAGGACCCTAAGAGCATTTATTAGGGACTCAATTGTGATGTGGCAAAGAACACTAGAGGCCAATTTCAAGCCAAATGCACAAGTTACCATCAAGTGCGGGATCTGCCAAGGAGATGCTCTGTCCCTACTGCTGTTCTGCTTAGGCCTGAACCCCATTAGTTAGATCATTAACAAGACTGGCTATGGATACCTACTAAAAATGGAGCAATCCTAGCTTGCCTCCTCTACATGGATGAGATCAACGTGTATGCCAAGAGTGAATGAGACATCGATTCACTGATCCACACCACCAGGATATACAGCAATGACATTAGAATGCCAGTTGGACTGGAGAAGTGTAATTGGATGGCAACAAAGAGAGGGAAGAACTGAGGGGATTGTGCTAGATATCGAGGACAGCTACAAGTACCTGGGAATCCCACAGGCAAATAGGAACCATGAAGACGCCTCTAGGAAAGCTGCAACCACCAAGTACCTGCAGAGGGTCTGACAAGTCCTGAGGAGTCAGCTGAATGTGAAGAACAAAATCCGGGCTATCAACACCTACACCCTGCCCGTGATCAGGTATCCTGCTTTGATAATAAGTTGGCCAAAGGAGGAGATAGAAGCCACTGACATTGCTGCTGACCATGCATGGAGGGTTTCACCTCAGGTCTAACACCCTGAGACTGTATGCTAAACCGAAGTATGGAGGCCTCAAAAACTCAAAACTCTGTTCATGTATGAAACTCCTTAATTTTACTTTTTTGCAAAGGCAAAGGAGCATAGAAATTAGCCCATACCACCACCCACCCCTTATTGATTGCCTACAGCTTAAGCATCCCTGTAGCTCAAACATTTCTTCTCACCCTTGACTCTGCTGAAACCACAGCAAAACTATACTAGGCACTTCAGCCGCAAGTTGTAATGCTAGCTATACACCCCAAGAAGCAGTAGAAGAAGAAAAAAGAAAACGAAGAAAAACAAGAAGGGGAAAAATAGACAAGTGCATACAGCAAACCTTGTTCTTGAACCGCAATCTCCCTGTCACAGTATTGCATGCATTAATTATATGATTTATTTAAAAAATACTTTTTACTTTTTACAATTTCACAAATATTTTTTAAACAGAAGTGTGTAAACTAGCTGAATGTGCACATCGAAGCATGCAAAGGGAAATTATTTCTGATTGGATGACTTCCAAACATTTCTCCGCCTTTCTACACACCTGAATCAGTTGTGATGGATTGTGTCTGTCCAGAACATGTACATCTTCATTTTGTTTCCTTGATGAACGTGTTAATACCCCAAAAAAGATCTTTGTTGAAAACTTGAAAATTATTGGTCAACAAAATTAACACTGATACAGTCATGATATGAGGCTTGTGGTTAAAAATAAATAAATTAAAAAAAACTTCAATGTTTGTCTACTCTATTTGAGTTACTCTGGGTTAACTCTCATCCTGAATTTTTCACAGTTACAAAGTCACCTTTCAATGCCTCTTTCTGTACAATGTAGGAGCACTGTTGTGAAGCCATGTCAAAAAGATGACACAATCACCACAATTCTTTTATCCTCTTTTATCTTGGACAGTCCAAATCACATAGTGAATACTTGACATTAGATGAAATTTTGGCCGTGTGAAATGACCATGTGAAAAACTTTAAACACATGAATTTTTCTGGGGTTGTTCTTGACAGTTTGTCAATAGAACAACTGATGGCTGGGGATAAAAGGCGCCTTTAAAAGCTTACCACTCAAACAAAAATGTTGTTAAGAAGTCTTTCATGAGTGAAGGATTCCACTTGAAAACATAGTGGGCATTTAAGGAGACCCACTAATGGAGTAAGTTCGTCGCACAGTCCTAAATGTGAAATTCTGATCACTACATTCCAGATATGTATGTATTTAATAATTTGTTGGGGGGTTATAGTGAGATAGCCTCTGACACCCTGCTATTGGCACACTGAGACATTGGATTGATTTCTGTACTACTCAAGGAGAATTAAAAAATTTTTTTTCCAAGAGCCCAGTGTTCCTTAGAGATCTGACCAGACCATGTTCTCTGCTCAGGTTTTGTATTCACAGTAATGCTGTGATGAAATATTCAAAGAACAAGAGCAATATTAAGGACATGTACTTGTCCTTTGCCCAGTTTTGTGAAATGGTTTTGAATATCCAATCAAATTAGTCAAACATGGTGCACACCAGATAGATGTAATGCTCTACAGTCAAAACAGAGAGGGTGAAAGAAAATACAAAGAGGAGGGAAGATCTGACAATTGCGCCAAAAGCAAGATGAGAGAGAGAGACTGAATTCTTAAGTAGAAGGACATGAACATCCTATTTGGGCACAAAGCTGAGAGAACTGGTTGTCCCTTTAATAGAAAAATTCATAGTGGGAACTCAGACAATTTAGTTGATGAATTAGCTCAACAATAGATATTAAGAAAGAACGAAAGAAAAAAAAATATGGGATTAAATTAAAACAAACACAAACATGGAAAGTGGCAGATAGAAAAGAGGGCTGAAAATGAGAAGCCAAGTGACAACGTGACAGATGGAAACACTCACAGCTTCACAGCATGTCTCTATCACAATACAGAGAATAGTCAGCCCTTCCCTGTGGTGAAGCAGATCACAGCTGTAGATGAGTATCACTGACTACACTAGTTCTAAACATAGAATACTATACGAGCTACTGTAACTCGGGATTAAAATAGAAAGAAATCTCTCTCAAACACCCAAACACATAAACACTGTCCTTTTTTAAATAGATGTTCACATGCTAAACATTCACAGATGGGAAAAAAGTTCCAGAAACAGTTTCCCTAAATATGCTATGACTGTATAGATAATGAATAGCGCACAAAAAAAAAATGTTAAATCCTGCTAAAGACCTGCACAACCTAATTCTGAAATGCAGGTCTTGTAATAATTTACTTGTAAATGAATTTAATTTGCGTATCCAAAGAGGAAACAGACTAATTCCTGGGTGATGACCTAAAGAGAGTTACCAAAGACGAAGCGAGCAAATTGTGGGTTCAGGGTTCAGCTCCAAATTCCTGAAATGTCATTACAATTTTATGCTTTTTTGAATACATACTACATTCATTTACACCTCCTGAATATGCAATGTGCACCTGGAAGGCATGAAAACGTCCTAAAGAGAAGCTCTGTCTTCATATTGTGAACGATCACACTGTAACTCACGTGCTCTGTTCTCCATCAGAACAATGTGACGTACCCACCCACAGTCACAGTTTTTGAGTGCACGTTAAGTGATCTTTCTGTATTGCAAGTTATTGCATTTCAACTGTTTTGCACTCCCTGCTGAAAGCAGTCTCACAAAACAGAAACTATGGATATGAAATCACCAAAATTGGAATCAATCCAAATCTATCAGTGTGGCTAACTGTTCAAGGCATGTCTATTCACTGAAAACAAATTACGTAGCACAGGTGCACATCCGTTGTCTGCATGTTCTCCACTATTGCAGTATCCTGAATAAGATTTCATCTTGAAAAATAAAAGAACATTTCAATCCAGCATGATTACAGAAGCTTTGATTGTCTTCACATCCTGCTGATTTAATTAGAAATCCTAATCAAAGAACTTGGAGTGAAACGAAATGAATTCAAAACTAAGAGCCACCAGGATGGAGGTCTTCTTCGAAAGATGAGTAATGCAGGAAGAGCCTTGGCAAGCTATGTGTGCGTACGTTCATGTGTGTAATGCTGATATTATCCAAGACAATGAGGACAACTAGGCAACACACTTAAGTATGGACACACTTACTGTAATGGACAGTAGGCACAGGTTCACAAGACTTTGGCCTTACCTAAAACAAAAAGGACAAGAGGAGAGAAACTGTAAATGGACAAAAACGAAACAAGATGAAAACGTTCCTTTTACAACATGCATTATGTGGCTGATTAGCTTTCAGTAGAGATATCACCAGATCTTTTTCTTCTTTTCTTCTGAGTCTGATCCCATACTTGTATTTACATAAATTTTCATTAAATATTTATGACACATTGACATAAGCCTATTTGGTGTTATACAGCGTATCCTGGCACAATGACTTAAGGTCTTGGACTGAAACTAAGTCTATCAGGTTAAGATATTGATTTGTTATGAATAACAGTTTAGCAGGAGAGGGCATGTTGCAAAATTGAAATGATCAACTGGCCTGATCCCCTACAGAGCAGACACACTGCTCTGTTAGAAATACAGAAAGAAGACAATCCACTGGGAGTCGTCCAGTGTTATTCTTTCCTCACTGACATTTAAATAGCGCTATTATCGAGCAGGGATAGTTTAAGTCTGCGATATTAGGACTTGTAGAAATCTTAAGTTGGATTTTTGCAAGGACGGTAGATCAGAAGTTAAAAACAAAAGGTTGGTGGTTTGATGTCAAACTCTGGCTTCTGTTCATGCGATGCAATAAAAACAACAACAAAACTTAACCTAAGTTAAATTAATGTTAAGAAAACTAATTTGTTTTGTTCCATACACTAGTTAGAACAAGTTCAGCAGTGTATGCAGCATGCATGCAGGCTAAGCCATCAGAATATATTTAATGATGTCTTTGGGCAACTTTGGATTTGGGCTGTTGGCTGCACACTCAGTCGGTACTTATGAGATGCCCTGATTAATCCGGTAAATATTCTTAATTACCAATATGCAATAGATAATAATAATGTCTTGCTGAACATTTTACAGGCAGTAGCAATAACTACCAACTAACTGTATGACTGTAGCAGTTTCTCACATCATTGTTGATGAATCTTTGACTCACTCTTCTGTGCAGCGTGGCTTCAGCTTATTAAAGTTGCATACATTTGTTGATGTACAGCTGGTCACTACAGTATTTCAATTAGGATGAGGTCTGAACTTTGAGCGGGCATATATTGCAACACCTTTTCTTTTTCAGCCGTTCTGCTGTAGAGTTGCTGCTATGCTTGCGATCACTGACCTGTAACACTACAAAATTAAGTTTTAGCCGTCAGATTGGTGCCCAGGTCCCATGGCTGCAAAACAAGCCCAAATCATTATCCTGCCATCACCTAGCTTGATAGTTGGTAGCTTGAAAGTGTCTGTGAAGGTTCTCAGTCATCCAGGTCATTGTAGTCTAAGGAGCTTGGAAAGAAAAGCATCTGGACTTAATGGTTTTCTTTCCACGCTCCTTAGATTAGATGGAAGTGGGATTTTTTTGGTGATATTTTTTTTGGTGTGCTTGGTTTTTTCCAGATGTGGTGCTGTGTGTAATGGCCAAACATCTTCACTTTGGTCTCACTTATTGTTCCAGAAATCCAGGGGATTATTCAGAGCCAAGTTTCCAACTTTTATTTTATTTTTTTAAGAGAAGAGGCTTCCTTCTGGCAGTCTTTCCAAACAAGCTAAACTTGTTAAATCTTTTTCCTAAATGTACTTTTCAAATGTCACATGTTAACTGAGGCCTGTAAAGTCTTAGATAAAGACACAATTATGACGTTCCCTAAAAAATTACCCTTCACATCATTACTAAAGTTCTCATACAAATAATATTCATTGATTCATTTTATCCTCTAAGAACATTCCTCTGTGAAGGTTTTAGGGGTGGTAAAGAAAACATTTAAGAGGCTTAAGTTTCCCAAGTAGAACAGAAAATGGCAGAAAGACAAAAGTGTAGGAGAAATGTTGGCAATTTATTTAATTACAGAAAGGATATGGACATATGATAATGTTTGTGGTTGATTTCTCTGAGATGCACTCAAATGTCCCAGCAGACACCATGAATTTATAATGCCAGAGATGAAAGTGATTACATCCAAGTGAACAAAAATGTGACATTTCAGCGAGTGACTTGGGTCTGCTGCAACCTTTCATCAGCAGATAGTAGTGATCACGCACACACAAATGAAGCACAGTCTCACAATCTGCAGCAGCTGCTGTCATAGCAGAAAGGGATGATTATTGCTAGCATTACCTCCAATAATCATAAGCAAGTACATAGCGCACCTATAAGCATGGATGTTTTTTAATCGTTTGATTAGACCAGGAAATGAAACCAAGGTTTCTTATGTTTTCATTTAGTTACCCTTTCTATAGCTTAAGGTTTTTCATGTCAGCTGTTTGTGAGAGATGAAAAGAAAACCCGGTCCTTTTTTGTGTAAGGATCGAGGCAAGACACTTGTTTCTTTGTGAGTGTTTCTCCTCCTTTGGGGATTCATTTTTCAACAATCAGCTCGCACACGAGCCTCCACCAAGAGCCTTCTGGGAAACATGGGGTGAAGAAGAAAAAAAAAACTTCTCCCTAGATGCATAAACCTTTGATATATTGCTTGTGACACCTTGACACAGATTTAAAAAGACCTTTTTTATTAGTAACACTATACCACCAAGATTGGTGAAAACATCTAGCGTAACAAGAAAAAAAAAATCGCATGCTACTATATATTTCCCTTCCCTGACAGAGCTCGTTTTTTCAAAAAGACTTCTCAGGGTTCACAGACCTGCTTTACAATGCAAAGGAGAAGCCTTAAAGGCTGATGTCTGTTTTTGAAGCTGATTCGTCTTCATCAGGTGGAAAAACCTGCCTGATGCAGGCTGGACTGCAGGCTTGCAGTTGTGTAAGGCCTTGTCATGATGAAAGAGTTTTAATAACACAGCACTGCACACAACAGTAATCACCGCATTACAGCAGCAACAGCATAGGCTGGTAAGTTTCTTTCAGCCTTGGATTTTTATATTTCATGTAGACGAGAATGATTTCAACCTTTCTTGGTCAAGTAGGACTTTCCTTTTACTCTTATAGTTTTCCAGCAGCTGAGAAGTAAACACACAGTAAAAGGTAACAAGATATTTTATAGAAACCGCCACATGTGATTTATTTATTTTTTTTAAATAAAATGTTCTATCTGAAAATTGAGGCAAGCCCAGTGAAGATCAATACTTTTATTAACCTTGCTTCCAGGGAACCCGAACAACATATATGTAATATAAATCTTTGAAGGGGTTAAACAGAATGCATTCCTTGAAAATATCTTCTTTTATAAAGTTCCTCACATAAAAGAAACCAAGGCCGGCGTGTTTGAGGTCAAATATCTAATTAAGTGCATTAAATCTTCTTTTATTAAACATCCGGTGGTGGTTTTTAACCAGCGTTCACTGCACTTCTTACATACAAACTGTTTTTACCTGACACAATTATCCCAAAACAGTCACCTTGAACTGGTTTTAAACAGAGCCACACGCACAAACACACACATATAGAGGAAATCTAGTCCTTTCAGAAACTGAATTAAGTGTATGTTGTTAGATTTTGTTGTGTGTATTTCATTTTGTGTCATCTATTAGCTATTTAATGTTGTACAGTGAATGCTTCCAGCTTCTCCAAATCCCGTCAACCTTGATATAGTAACTTAAGCCAAAGTTTTCTATTTAATTGTGAACGTGAGTTACAAATTGGTGGTTTAGGATATTTTACAAGAGAGATTAGACTGATTTATGAGACTAATTCAATAAACCTTTTTGCGGCTACAGCAGAATATTTAAAAAACAAACAGTAGCTTCAACATCAATAAACTCACAGTGAAAGTGTGTTTATAATACTGCTGCCATGATAACTAGTTGGGAACTAAAGAAATACATTTCCTCGAGTGCGAAGAAGTTTCAGAGAGTGTTAATGGAAATCATGTTCACAAGGGAGGATCGCAGTACTCAGTGCTCAAGCAGCCTTACCCAGTGGTGGTAGCTGTTCTTGCCATTGTACTCGAGGAACTTATTTACTGCTTCAGAGAGTTCTAACTGTGGGTAAATGGTCTGAGGTAAAGCAATTCTGAGTTTGACCCATTGAGGTCAACAAATTGATCTGGTCGCCCTTCTTCCATCTGTTCTCTTATAAGATGTTTCACTAAACAACATCAGGAATACCCTTCTTCTGCCATGAAGAACGTAAAGGCAGCAGCCGCTACATAGCATAGTGTATTTAAAAAAACGTGTTTAGAAGGCTCTTTATCTGTAAGTTATTAGAGCATGCACAGCTACATGCTAACAAATTCAAGTTATGACTGTGTTAAAAACAAAACTCTTAAGTTTACTATAAATACTGCATCTTGTACTTCATTTGAAGTCCTCAGTAGCCCACTCCTAATTGGAAATGGACAAAGCATTGAGAAACAGATCAACTTTCTCTACTGCTATTGAACAGGAGACTCAATGTGCAGTGCTAATTTTCTTTCTATTAAGCACACCGGGTCCATGCCATTACAGCTGTAGGTAAGACCTGTTGAGCAAAGCACAAGCCTGTGGGAAATCAACTATGAAGGCTTTCATATGGTTACCAAGTAAAAGAGCAGATTAACTGCGGGGGTTTATGAGGCTCAAATACAGAAGCTGAAAATTGTTGCAGAAACAATTTGCACAACTTTTTAAGGGTTTTAATTGGATATTTCCATTGTAGAATTTCAAGCTGTATTTTGCTTCCCACTGTTCGCTCTGAATTTCAAAGTGAAAAAGATGAACAGTTATAATGCTAGTAGATTCTGAATTTCTGCCTTGTTTTGTCTTATTAAAATAATCTCAATGCCCACCAAGCTCATTGTTCTTCAATAAACTCAGGATGAGCACTTTTTTTCATACTTTTTGAGGGAATTTCTAAAGTATTGATGTATCTTCTCCATCTCATTGTCTAAAACAAAACAACCGACAGATGGGGATCGAATAGAATTTTTAAAATAATGAGAGCAGGTCAGTGTGGGCATTATTTTTAAGCTGAGAGACCAATGAACAGTTGAGCGTGAATGAAGCAGCTCGTGAAAATCTCTCTCCTGTGCCATTCTTAAACTGCATT